GGCTACTTCACGCAGAACGCCACTGGCTACTCCAATTCGCCGGTCGATCTCTTCCTCCAACTTTCCATCATTAGTTAATGTCGAGTTCGAGTTTTTGCTCATCATCATATTCAAAGGGTTTGTACAGTATGTGTTAGCTGGCGATTATATTTTTATGGGAAACCTTCTACCTAATGAAACAAAATTTTAAATTTGTAGGACTTCTGATACTCGAAAGTTTCTGCTATATTTGAGTGTTTTTCTTCTATGATTGCCAAAGACAGCAACGTGAAACAATGAAACTTCTTCCGGCACTTTTTGGAAAATCAAATACATCCCCGCGATAGATAGCTCACTATATTTCAGGAAATTTTGTCGAAAATAATTAAAGATGCGCAAAGTATTTGTTCTGCAGCAAATTTAATGACGTACTTTTGTCATTCACGCAATGCACACCAACTGTACATTTTGTATCATTCGTCATCGTAATGGAGCCAATGAGCTTCCTGGAGAATACGATTCCACTTTGGTCGTGTGGCTTTGAGCCAATCAAATTCTGAGAGAGGGTCAATGTTTTTCGGTCTTGCGCCAGTGGACCAATCAGCTAGCGGTATCACGGTCTTGGCTTTCATTTCACCAGTAGTGCGAAGACGCCGAATACGAAGGGTCGTTTTACTCCTTGAACGAATGAGTCATCACAGTACTCTAAGTTTGATATCTGCTGTGACTTAAATGCTTACTACCTCATTTTATCAAAGTTCTGAAGCAATGTCACCATTTCAGATAGCTCTAACTCACACCCCTCTTTGACAGTTAAGTGATGCATGCAATTTCTAGAACATCGCTCAGCATTGGTACCTTTCTTTCTCATAACCAATGCATTGTATTGAAATACGTAGAGACCGTCAAGGCATTCAATACGGTTAGAATAATGCTCATTGCTAAATTGATCGCCGTAAAATTTTTAACAAAGTCACCTATCAAAAAAAAGTTGAATCTCGTTCGCGTCCGACCCAAATCTGCTGTTTAAGAGATGCCCTTTGACAGAGTTATGCCGCATTTTTCCACTTCGTTCATTTACTCATTGAACCCATTGGCAGGGACAAACAAAGCAAATATTTCTTTCCCTTCATCTCGTCGCATATGAACGAATGCAAGTGAATCGCTTATTCAAGGACGATTTTCCTGTATTATTGGAGAGGGGAGTCTTGAGCATCTATTTTTAAAGGATGTTTGTATTTTCGTCTTTAGCTTGTGTAAATGAGTTTAAAATGGAATACAGTATCGACACGAATGAGTAAACATGAGCTGTGTTCTTAAGCAATGTTTCAAGTATCGAACCATGAAGTCATAGCGAAAGAATTGACGAACGAAATTTCACTAAAAAGCACTTGCTGTTTAAGTAAGCAGTCGGCAGGCATTGGCCATGAGAGATTATAGTGTTGACCATGGGAGATTAGAGTTGTTTCGCCTAACGCTACCACAGTGAAGCGATGATAAGCTCCCTTTATCGAAAGCAAAGTTTTTCTTTTCATAGAGGCACTATCGAAAGATTTGGTCGTTTCGACGAGCGTCAGTGAATCTTGAACTGCCACCATGCTGCGTGCCATCGGTGGGCTGCTGCTGCTGCTGCTTGCCCATTTGTTGGGCGCCGATGGCGTGACGAAGGTGAACGTGACGATTTTTTACGAGAGCAGGTGCCCGTATTGCACCATGTTTCTGCGAGAGCAGTTTTCCCCCTACTGGATTCCCTTACAGTACAACCTCAACCTCAAGTTGGTTCCGTACGGCAAAGTGAGACGTGTCAACGG